CATACAACACTGAGACTGCACAGGGCTCCCGCCAGCCCCCATCACTGCATGGAGCCCTCTGTCACCACCTCCCCCCACACACACACTGAGACTGCACAGGGCTCCCGCCAGCCCACTGACACTGCATAGGGCTCCCCATCACTACATAGGGCTTCCTGTTACCACTCCTGACAGTGCACAGGACCCTGCATGCGCCCCTGACACTGCACGAGGCTCCCCTTGATACCGGGCATAGTGTCCTGGCTGTGTGGAAACTGCCCAGCAGAGTGCTCACTGACCATGTATCCACAGTGGACGGGATTGACCCCAACTTTAAGATGGAGCATCAGAGCAAGCGTTGTCCGTTGCACGCTGCCGCTGAGGCTGGCCACGTGGATGTCTGCCACATGCTGATCCAGGTGACTGCCGCCTTCCCCACCACTGGCCCTACACAACACCACCCTGATGTCAAGAACGGCCAGCCCTTACGGGGAGCACCACTGGAACCATTCAGGACTTGGGTGATTGGAGGCTGGGGGTGGTGTCAAGGTTGAGAGATGAGGAGAGACAGTGGCCTGCAGGGACAGTGGGGACCGGTACTCCACTGGGGTCTGTAGGGTGGCTGGGCCGTAGCCAGGCTGTCCTTGGCACATTGTCCTTCTCATTCCGAGAAGCTGTGCAGAGTGTAAGTGGTTTGTGCTTGTGAAAGAGGGGCCAAGCATTCCAGAGGGTTCCATGGGAGGCACGGTGCGTGTGAGGAGCTGTGTGAGGCAGTGTTGGGTGCCACCAGGCACCATGGGCTCTGTGGGTGTGGCACTGTGAGTGTGTATGGATCAGATTGCTTGGTGACGGGTGTGGAGACCTCTCCTTAGACTTGGGATTCTAAGTAATGTTGTTTTCTCAGCTCATTTTACGGGCACAGTCACTCTCTGTAGCCTCTGTCCTCTTGTTGAGAAGTCCTTGTGTCCTTCGGGGAAGGAATGGTTTCTCTGGCTGTTCCTTTTTATTTGTTTAAGTGTGAGGAATACAGGACATGCACCCAGAAGAGTCACTAATGAGACAGTCAGCCCCAACATAACCACTTGAGTCAAGCAGCAGCTCTGCCGGCACCTGGCTGCACCCTACTCTCCCTCTGAGAGGACAGAGCAGCTGCACCCCACCCTCCCTCTATGAGAGGACAGAGCCCTGGCAGCACCTGGCTGCACCCCACTCTCTGTGAGAGGATGGAGCCCTGCTGGCACCTGGCGGCACCCCACCCTCCCTCTGAGAGAGGAGGATCTGCCCCAGTCTTTATTGTCCTATCTTGTCCTCACTGCTCTTGCCACTGAGAAAGCAGCTTGCGCAACATGGGGTAGATTTGGCTGCTTTTAGAGGCGTATAGGTGGACTATTAGTAAAACCAAACCCAAACCACAAAAGCCCAAGTCCAAGCAGAAACAGTGGCATCTGAGGGTAACTGTGTCTGGCACCTGATGGATACTGGTTTTGAGGTGTCCTCTGGGTATGTAAGATGTTGTTTGCGGGGAGCTGGGTTCCTTGACTGAGATACAGAGTCTAGTGGGAGCACTGTTCAGGAACAGAAGCTCAGGGTAGTTGAGTCATTGTGCCCTGGAGTCATGGTAAGAGGCCCAGAGAGGCTGACCACTGGAGATGGCTGTAGGCTGGCCCAGCCAGTCTGCTGTCAGACACTCGTAGCATACACACTATTTCGTCCCCGCACCCCACCGCCCACTCTCACCTGTCTGTTCCAGGCGGGCGCCAACATTGATACCTGCTCTGAGGACCAGCGGACCCCGCTGATGGAGGCTGCAGAGAACAACCACCTGGATGCAGTCAAGTACCTCATTAAGGCAGGGGCGCTCGTGGGTCCCAAGGTGCGTCCTCGTCATTGCCTGTAGTGCCTAGACATGTCCCTGCAGGTGAGCAGTGCCCGAAGCACTGGCTATGTGCAGGGTCACCTCACCTCACCTCATACGGTCTTGATCTGTGAGGACTCGGCTGTGGACAGGCGTCAGCTGTTTGACGCTGTGTGTGGTGCAGACTCGGGAATCAGGTGGGGTGGGGGTGTCAAACCATGGCACGGTCATCGTGCCTCCAGTGTGGGGCAGGAGGCGCTCCAGAGGACGAGCTGGACCCCTGTTTCAGGAGGGAGACGAGGAGAGGGGGCACCTGTGGCATCCACAGTGGGGTCCATCCTACTGCCCACCACAGTGGCAGGCTGGGCTGGGGCAGAGAGCCTCACAAGCCCACAGCAGGCATGCGTGTGCAGGCATGTGGAGCACGTGCGGCAGCTTTGCAGAGTGTGCACTTACAAGATTCCTGCTTGCACCCCACGGGGAGCCCAGTGCATGGAGTCTGCAGGGGTGCGCACGCGTGTGTCTGGCACCTCCACGCCACAGCAGCCGCCCTGAGAGTGCAGCTGACACATGGGGATACGGACTTTGTGATCAGGGGAAGGGGCATCCGAGGAGGGCTCATGGTCACTGGCGAGACCACATGTGCGAGGTGAGGAAAGGAGGCAGCCAGATTGACGAGGCTGGTAAGGAAACACACTGCCAGCTCGTCCAGGGAATTCTTACCCAAGAAGGACAGTCCTCCATCAGCCATGAGACCGGACCAGGTGTCTGGACAAGACTCAGCTGGCACCAGTGGAGATGGCATGTCTGAGCACAGTAGCTGCCACACACCCCCCCACTAGGCTATGCGTTGACCAGTGCCTCGTGCGCTGTGCTGGCCTCCAGTTAATCTCTCTTAGTTTAGTAGTCTTCTGAAAATCAACCAGAACTAACGCAGAAAAAAAAGTCCATGATGCTGAGCCTTGGAGACTCGCCAGCCACACTGGGCAGTGATGAGCAGCACTGCCCTGTGACCCCCAGCTCCCTGCTCTCCACCTTGCTGCAGCCCCACGGACAGCCCAGTGAGTACAACTGGCTGGAGGTGCAGGCGCGCCAGGCCTGGCAGAGTGTAGCCCCACCATAGGCAGGCGGGCAGGGGCCTCGGGTGTTACCTGTGAGGCCTCATGCTACACACCTGGGAACACCTCCTATACCTTCTTCAGGTCTCACTGTTAGGGGGTTTTATGTGATAGCGATTGGATATGTAAAAAAAGTGCTTTTTAAAAAATACTAAATTTTTTTTGTTAGAGTCCAATCCTTTTTATGTAGTTATTGAGCATCTGTGTTTTTATTTTGTTAAGTTATTGCTTTGTATCTTGTTCGTTTTTTTACTGGTGTAGTGCTGTTTTGTGTGTGTGTGTGTGTGTGTGTGTGTGATTTGGGTGAAGATTTACAGAACAAATTCACTTTCTATACAGCAGTTCACATATATTTTGTCTCATGTCATTGACCACAGTTTACCACAATGCAA